AGTCTAGATCATTGATGTGAACTTAATAAATCGGAAACCAAATTAGAGCGTTAAATTCAAGTTTAGACCAGACAAGCGAAAAATAAAATAGAAGATCAGAGATAAGTTTCTACAATTTCTATAAATCAGACCATAAATCCTGAAGGCTTTTGCAACAGTATCATTAGTGTGGTCCACAAGTGTAAGTTTTGAGTCGAACACTACGCCTAAAAAGTGTCTACGCATTTTACACAAAAGTGGCTGATGGCATATGGATAAATAAGTGGAGATTTAGAGGTATTGGAAAAAAGTCGATTAGTAACACACCAGGTAGCAGAACGGCTATCTTGAAATTTTGCGTTAATCTCAGCAAAGTTTATTAGGTCGTATAGTTTAAAGTCGTCGGCTAACAACAGTTTGTATGTAAATAGGTATGCGCCGAATTCACAATATGATTTATGAAGAACGGGAATAATAAGGGTCTCAAATTGGACTTTTGTGGCACCCCTGATGTTGGTCTTATCACTTCTGAAATGAAATTTTGATACATGACACACTGTGCAATGTTTAATGGATAATATCTGAAAAGAGCAAGATAAAATGATCAGTGTGATCAAATGCTTTGCGGAAGTCTAAATAGATGACATCAGTTTGTGTATTGTTGTCCATTACTTCTGAAGTATAATGTGTGATTTGTGGTAATTCAGAGATATATACTAATTGACATTTGAAATAAATGACACCGAGAAACAACAATTTATGGTTAACAATTATTGTAGTAGATGGAGTGAGAACAATGATCTTATATTGAATACAGATACATGGCTATATGTAGCTTCGTATTCTCGGAGAATCAATGTAAAATTAAAGTGATAAAAATCTTTATAGGTCTGATTTTGCACAAATCTTGGATTCTTAAATTAATATTTCACAAGAAACTCGCTTAACGAGCATATTAACCATGTTATTACTTCGTCTCTTAACGTGTTAGGTGTAGCTATTGGTCCCAAATCTCTTGTATTTTTATTTGATGCATTCGTTCATTCCAAACTTGAATTTGCATTTATAATATTTTACAGTTGTCAGGTGTTTAATTAAGAATCTGTATAACGACGATATTCAAAGTATTTGTACTTTCGATCTCAAGTTGAGTATCCCTCTAGTGGATATATTCACAACAACTGTTGCTTGCGGAATTACAGATTCAGTCCCTTTGTTCCGGACGTAACACTTCGGGTGTGATCTTCTTGAAAAAGCTTCTGGTGGATACTGTAGGCTATAATGACTTATTGCATCAATTATCGTATACATACCTAGACCTGAATGTAGAAATCCTAGTCCGTTTAAATTATCCCGTTGTAGGACTAATTTAGGGTTAAACTAACCACTATTATAGGATGTGTAAATTTGGCAGTCAAGTTTCGGACCGCTGTGACATATTTAATTCAAGTGCTAGAAACATTTTGAGAAATTTTAATTATTCAAATGAATTATTTTATTAGTTATGTTCTTAAAGGCTTAGCATAAGTGTAACTATTTTCTCTATATTTTGTAATATTAGAATTAACTATAAAACTGGCGTAACATTTACGACGTATATGAGGGGAATTTTAAAACTGTAATTAGAGTAAAGTATTAATAACACTAACGAACTCTACCTAATTCCTAGAGTAAAGCACCTCGTTTCACGCACAGTTTTATATTTTCATTACAATTTAGCTATTCACGAAATCTCCAGTACATAATAATAGAGGAACGTCAAAATAGCTGTTTATTATGACGATCAATAAGCCAAAATATTTATTCTATAATCAAAGCTACTCCCTGGTCTTTATAAACAGACTACCCATTACGTGTTAAGTATCGACAACACTTTAAAGAGTTCCGGCACTAGTGGGCGGCAATAAATGCAACAAAATACCGCCAATTAGACAGATATAAATATGGTCGATAACTGGTAGGTAGAACAAACGGACAAATAAATCATTCGTAATTATTCATTTTTTAATTGAGCGAATAAATTCAAGTTGAGCGGAGACAAGCCTATTAGGGGACGGTGGGACAAGTTAGGGTGCGGAAACACGACATCTTTCGTGACTTAAATGCTTTGAACCTTAGTTTAGTAACATCTACAAACAGATTAAAATTCATCAATATTATAGAACACATTTTCCAACAGAAAGGATTTTTTCTTAAATTATGCCAATGCTCGCGAGTTCTTCCAGTTTATTAAAGAATTTGGTTCCGGAATAATTCTCTACCGATCTATTTCTTTTTAAACGTAAGCCTGGTTGTTACTATTTTTCATTCTGATATCGTGACTGACAGGTGTGCTGTATGGGTTAATATTTTCTTTTGTGTAAACTAAGCAGTTGTATAACTGTATAACTCGTTAACAGCGCTCGTTTTGGGCACTTCATCGCTTATTTGAGAAGAAGTTACTGAAATTACCATTTTGTAAACGAGTTAATGTTATTATAATAATGGAATTAATACTTACAACAGCACCTAGTTCACAGTCAATTTTACTAGTCTGTAGTTACCGTGTAAATTAGCTATTTGACAAAAGCTATCGGGTTTAGTAAATATTGTTGTACCACCGTGGTGGGCAAACTTTCTTCCTTACAATAAAACTGACACTATAAAAACCTTAACAAAAAACCAAACATTTAACGAAACATACACAAGATCCGACAAGTGTGACGTGAAATACTTAGAACATAATTAAATGATGAGATTTTATTTTTGTGTAACTTTGTGAGCACATTTTTTTTAGTACTGACGCTTAAAGTTCTCCACCTTCCCCTAGGACAATAACAATATCGTTTGGTACAAGTTCGCTTACCACTAAACCAAGATTATGGTAATTGAAGTGAATTCAGGTCAGTTTCGGAATAAAAATGAGCAAACTCTCGGCACGTGCATTATCAGCGCGAATAAACAACACCCACTACATCTGAAAACCGAAAACAGTTTAATTGCCGAAGCAGTCTTTCGTGCTCTTATCACTCTAAAGTCCGCCATTCTTCCGAAAATTGGGTTCCATTTTCAGTCCCGCTCCGTTCGGGCGAGCACTTTTAAAACCTTTTATTCGTAGATGAAGTATAGATCTGTCCACGAAAACTTCGCAAAGTTACAAAAAACTTTCTTTCAACCCAAAATCCCGAACGTGGGATCGATTATTTCCAAAGTTCTTGCTCTTAACGTTCTTTTTTTCTCGTTCTCAATTATTTCCATTCGAGACGAGTTCTCGGCGCACGGCCGCTCCATAACAACACTCTTCAAAGTTTTATGGGCCCTAATTAAGTATGCATTTACAGTGGTTGTCGTAACATGTTACAAGGCGTATTCCACTTGTTTAATTAGAGCTAAAGCGGCCCTAACCGCAACAAGGATAACGGCTGCTAGAGGAAGGGTGGAAAAATTTCGGCGGTGTTGAAGCGGAGGCCGGATTTGATAAACATCGACTTCAACGTGAGATTAGATGTTCTTAAATATTTAAAACATTCAAATCTCTAAGATTTCCTTTACCATGATATGCGCTTCGTTTTGTGGATATTTTATAACATCACAAATTTCGCGTACTTACTTAATTTTTTCAGTGTAACCAAAATTGTAGATGAAGAATGCCTTTGGAAGAAATGTCTAGCGAATTCGTATTAAAACAACAACGGAAATGTTGTCAACTTATGAAAAATGGTGTAGAGTGTTTAATACGAGTTTTGATATATCAACTATGTATGATGTAAACGAAAATAGTCCTAAAACATTATTTGAAATTTTCTTGTTTAAAACAACTTGTTGATTCCTCTCGTAGTAATTTTTACAAGACGAATTTGGAACAATCTAACATGCCATCTATCTAGGGTGATAAGCTGTCTAGAATAAACTAGCCAAGTTATTCTAAATTGATGCACCTAAAATGCTATTAGCGTGTTCACATGATTTTCGTCATCTTCGTCTACATCTTTGTAATGTGAGAAAATTAATGAAAACCCGATATTTGTATTTATTATTACTTTTATTAGTGTCATTATTATTACTATTATTAATTAAGTAATTTACAATCTTTTGTATTCGCCACACTAGCTTAGCACTGCTCCAATCAATATCAATATGACCAAATTTAGAACATTTAAAACAACGTGTGATTAATGAATGATCAATACATGTACACAGATCCAGCCAATGTAGTTAAATATAATTTACCTTCTAAATCCACTAGAATATCATGGCGTAAATTATCGGATACTTCAATTATAAAATTAGAACCACATTTCACTTTGAACTACAATTTTTATTTACTTGGCATACGTTTTTACATCCATCCAAATATATAACCAAAACACGTTTAATCAAATCATTATTATCAAACCCTAATCTATCGTACGAATAAAAAAGCATTTCACTTTTTTGACTTTTCAATCAAGACAGTGACGTTGTGAAGTGATTTTATTTTGCTTTAATTCGGCATTAATTTTAACCGACGTCTCTCCTCCCACATCATCCATTAAATAAATTAAGCCAATAAAATAAACTCGAACCGTCAAAGTTACAAAATTAACATGATTGTTTTCCTGAAGAACTTCTTGCAACTATCCTAGTCAATTTAATTAATTGCGTTTGAGTCGTAAAATTCTTCACCCGACAGCGTTATCCACTCTCATTGTTTTCTTTAGAACTGCATCCGTGCATTTTCCACGACACAACAAACTAGCTTTTCAGCTTTACTTTTTCAGCAAGTGCCACCTCGGAACGGAGGAAATAAAACGTACAAAGGCTATTCAACTTGTATGCAACACATTCCGTACAATTCAACCCGATTCTACTATGGAACAATGTACTCGAGTGATGACGTTCACTTTATTTTTTATTAACTACGAATATATTCACTTCTCGCGATTCAACGTCAAAATCACTATTAAAAATATATATATTCAATACTGAAAAATCAAAACCACTCAACGCGTAAAATGGCTCACGAAATCAAAGCTCTCTCAGAATACAAAGAAGAAACTTACATGCGGCCAAATCCTGCAGCTGCTGAAACTCCTGCGGGGACAGTTTGTCCCATTGTAAAGCCATCGTTCTACGGCAGGAACGCCTCCTGGTTTCCTTCGGAAGTTGAAAGCCACCTCCGGGATCACCTACAAACGAGTTTCTTTAAGCGCTTTGCTACTGATACAAAGAAAAGTGGCCATCTTTTTCCGGAAGCTGAGGGCTTTGAGGGCGATTACAAGCTCGAATAGGGAAAGATAAATTAGCGTTTTTGTGGCTTTGGAGAGTCCGCGAAAGGGAAAAGACCACTTTTTAACCAAATATATGTCTTTACATTTACCGATACCGTTAATCTTTCCGCAAAATACTTTAGTTCTGTGTACAAAATAAATTCTGATAACAGTGATTTACCTAACTTTTCTGGTTTTATCCGTGTTAATTAGCCATTTAAACTTATCAGAATTTGTAGATGTTGATAAAGTTTTGGTCCGGAAAATAATTTTATAAAATCATGTGCTGGCTTTTCTCTTTTTCTATATGTTTAATTTTCGCCATTCAATGGCCGTTTTTCTAAATATATATTTCGAAAACAAGGTAATAGACAGGCAAATTTTTGGATACTACAATGGTTAATAAACTTAGTATCAAATGTAATAGCATTGTAATTGTTTAACTACACCACATAGTTGTTTCTTCAAACGAATTTTAACAAATCTTTATCACGATATATTATAAATAATAAGAATTTTTATCCAACAGAAGTCAAATCGTTAAAGTATAGGCAGTTGTTTCCCCGAAGATCTTGTAATTCGCTGAGGCGTGCCCCAAGGCTCTCATTTGAGCCCATTGCTTTTTAGCTTACTATTCGAAGATGACCAAGTTATAATGCCTTACAATGAATAAAATGTCGAGTACCTGATGAGGAAATCAAAAAACATATATGAAAGAAGGGATTATTAACAAGTTCGAAAAAATAAAATATTTGGTAGTGGGAAAAAAACAAGTAGATAACCTAGATATCGAAGGAAATGTTGTACAATGTACATACGAAGAGTGGCACAAATAAACCAGAGAAGATATGGAATCCCATGGCCTTGAAGACCATAGTGTCAAACAAAATTTTATGGAACTTATTACTTATTAGGATGCGGAAGACGTCCATAACAGGTGGTATTATAAAAGTCACTAAGCTCCTTTGTTGAAATTGTGTGGTATTACTGACTGAAAAAGTTGTTGCTGGGATATCTTGTATACTGTGAAAACTAAAATTTTTAAAAAAGACAATAGTGAAACATTTTTCATTAAGCAAGTTTTACACATAGTCGTACGTTAAAAATAGCGTCGCCGTACTCGAAACGTAAAAATTTCGGTTCGTAAAATTTCACCTCGTCAACTAGCCTCTCGGCTCAGTGGACAAGATAAAATGCGTTTAATTACGCACAGTGTTGGCACCACTGCAACATCCCACTTTTTCCATTTATTGAGTCCCCCGAACAAGCCGTCCAGATTAAACTTTATCGGGCGTTGCCAACACAACAAACTTGAAACGGACATTTGGTGGAAAGCAATTTTAGACGTCGTTTTATTTCATTAAATAAAACTGTTCCGGTCGGAGTTAATTTCGAGCAAAATTCGGCGCGGACGGTCCAAACAAGCCGAATTTTTAGTTACAAAATTAAACTAGCGTCTGTTATTCAATAACCGACTTAATAATAACCGGACTCGATGGATGGATTAAATCGTTGCTAGAAATAGATTTAATTGTTTTCGAACCGCAAATGTTCCATTACATTTTATTTGCAGTTAAACTATTATTGTCTGCCGGATTTGTTTTATACTATTGCAATAATGAAGTTTAGTGTCGTTAATTTTTTTATGGCGGAAGAGGGATCGGCATGAAGAGACAGAGAGGGAGAGAGGCATGAAAAAATAGTTTTTATTATTTGTTGATGTTTAGGTTTGGCCCCATTTATAGCTGCATTCTTCACGTTTCAGGACCTTACGTTGTAAAAATACCTCCATAAACAAGTCAATTATAAACTTGGCAAAAATCCAAATCGTTGCCTGAAATACACGATTCTGTCGCAAAATCCGTTGTGTGGCTGTACTGGAGGGGAGCGAAAATTTTTGTAATTTATTCGTCTGGGCTGTGAAAACAAAAAAATCGCAGCAACTGCACGAGGCTTATAAGTGTGTATTATAACATTGTCAACGTCCAATAAGAATTACTATATCTAGCGCTATGACTTCCAGATGAATGTCAAAATTACGAGAACTGTGTTTTAAAACTGAGGGTAGTAAGATTTAGTAAAATTTTCAGGACTAAAAGACGTGAGAACTGATCATTAAAATCTAGTCTTTGAGATTTTTACCAGAATTTCCAAACGTAAAAATTGGTATGAGGTTATTTCGATAGACTTAAAAAAATTAATAATACCAGCCCTTGTGTACAAAAAACACTCGAGATTTTGCGCAAAAAAAGTTTGTAAAGCAGTTACAATAAAAATCAAGGCGGATTCATAGACAACGAGAACAAGAGTATATTATTTTATAAAAGTTAGATAACCTTTACTATGCAAAGTGATGACAGGACATCATCAATTAAAAAACGTTTTACCACGATCTTCTTAACATGTATATAAAATATGACAATAATCGGTCTAGTAGTTTCGGTGATTATCTGTCTAATAAAAATCGACACAGAAAGACAGAAACCGGAAACTTATTGTTTCGTACTCTAGGGGTTATAAAACATGGAGAAAACTTGAAAGTATCCATTCGTCCGCTTAACTTACGCTCAGGAAGTAAAAAAGAAAAAGTTCAAGTATAGAAAAGTTAAAAATTGCGTTTAATATTGAGCTTCAAAATACAAATTTCAAACGTCAAAATATTCAGCTTAAAAAACGGAAACTGTCACAATAATTATTTACAAATGTAAACACTGACATAACGTTATAAAGCTTAAAATGTGGAAGCTTCGAAATCTGGAAATCCAAATTTCTGACGACTTCCAGATTAATGCCAAAAAATATCCACGAATATTGGTTTAAACTTGAGAAATTTCTCAAAATATTTAAAGTTTCGAAAGTTGAATGGTTGATTTGAATGTCATTGGAAAAAAACGAACTTCAAAATTTAAAATATATAGCCCATGTTCTGTGATTTAAAAGTTTAAGCTTTGAAGTTACTATCAAAATTTTGAAATTAAAAATGTCAAAATTTCGAGATTTGGAGTTTTACATTGAAGGTGTTCCTGGCGTAAACATCAAAATAAAAGGACCAGACAGTATCTTAAATACTGAAAATTTTAAAATTAAAATTAATTTATTTATAGCTTTGGAGACCTTTTGAAAATTGGTCCAAGATTTGATTTTCCGAATTTTACTTTTTTTATGATAAACGTAATGTTAAAGAAAAAGTAAAGAAACGTAGTACACGTTTGTATCAAGTAAGTTTTTTCATTGCAAAATTTGCAAGGATACATATATCAATTTGAATAGATGATGTGTAACAGCAATAATAACAGTACTGTATTCCCAAATTTTCCGGAAAATTGAGTGAGTCGTTCTTGATTTAATCAATAATACTTATTTATGTATCAAGGCAATAAAGTGATACTTTATCGAACCGACTCTGAAATTACGAGCCGAGCGATGTCGAGGCAGAAGTTCGATGAAGACATTTCACTGACGTGATGCACACACAGGTTTATCGCCAACCACCAATCGATTTTATAGTTTGAAAAAATGAAAAATGTTTAATTACATAATATAAAGACAAACAACACTACCATTTTATTATTAATTTTAGCGTAATATAAAAAAACTAAACCATTTGAAAAAAGAAGAACAAGGGATAAAATAAAAAATTTAATTATTATTTGCATATTAAATCTGAACTTTGAGACACTGTAGAAATTAGTGCCGAATGTTAAAGCACCTGGATTAAAAAAAAAACGCAGCACAAATTTAGATTTTGGGAGGATTCCTAAGTATGCGGAAAGTAAAAATTTTTATTGTACCGTACAATAAATTAAGTGAATATTTACTTCTCCAAATCACCAGGATAATGCATCGCTTCCTAGACGGTGGGCGATTATTATTTTAAGTCGAGTTAGAAAAGTAAAGGTTTAAAGACGTAACAACCAAAATTGCCATTGTTGAAAATCAAATACATACTTGATTAAAAAATTCCAGACACTGATATGTAAAAAATTTCTAAATTTAGAATTTTAAGAATTGTTATCAAAGCTTAGAGAAATAAAATGACTGAAACATGCATTATTTTAAATTTAGAACGAGAAAGCACTCTTTTTTAAATTAAGTAACCTGACTTAAATTCGAATCTGAAATGTATGAACACTTTTTACTTCCTGAGCGTAAGTTAATAGGGTACATGCGACGAATTACTGCTTTCAGGTTTTCTCGACATTTCATGACCGCTAGAGTTCCAAAAAAGTGATGTTCCCTTTCCGTCTGTCTGTCTGTCTATCAGGCTGCTGTGTCGATTTTTATTAGACGCGTAATCTCCGAACTACTGGACCGATTGTTGTCAAATTTTGTATACATATTAGGAATATCATGTAGATGGTTAAACACTAACCAAAATTTGGCTAATTATCACCACCACCAATGGGATGACATCATCTCCGAAATATACAACAATATTTTTTTTATTTTATAAAATAAGATACTCCTGAACTTGTGGTGTATGAATCTGTGTTGAGTTCTCACCCAAATCATCCAGATTTTTGAAAAAAAAAATCAAAATTGTATAACATTTTATAATTTAATTTTGAAACTACAAAACCAAATGCTCTGAAATCTCGCAAACGTTTTAATGTGATCCTAATTGTGGTAAATCATTAATCAAAATTTATTTGTTTATGCCCTCCTAAAAAATTGATGACGTTACCTCAAAATTTTACCGAATAAATCCTCCCTGAAATATGCGAAAAATCTGGATTTGTTGCACACTCACTTTGCTCAATTTATGGAACGATTATTGAACATGGTCTAAAGTTTTTTAAAATTAAACTCCAGCAATAACTGTTTTAACAATTTTATCGAATCACAAGCAATACTCACATAATAGATTTGACCACACACGAAAATTTTGTGTAACATGCTTCCAGTCCAAGTGCGCTGGA